TTACATATTGCGTTCATATTTTTGTTCAGTTTGATTGTTTGAAGGGGGAAAATAAAACCTTTGGCACTCTGAAAAGGGTGTTATTGTCAGCGATTTTGAACAGTCAGTCTACATTTGTAGGGCCCTATAAAATCAATTTAATCTTTTGGTAAATTCAGTTTTCCTGGTTTAGTTTTTCCCGGTTTCTGAGTTTTCAAAAAAAATTCAGGTTTTCACTCAATCACATTTCTTTATTGGAAAAACGACAAAAAAGTGGATGTTCTAAGTCCACAACAATGCTTAAACCACATCAGGAGACTACTTTTAAGGTCTGGGAGCAATACTTTTTTTTAGGGGGAGTGTGTAGTTGCCCTTTTATTCAATTGTTCACTTAGCAAGATACCGTTGTTTAGCTAGCAGTGGTTTTGTACTGTACAATGTACATTGTAGGCTACATGTGATTGCAGAGTTTGCAAAACAAAAGACCCACAATTGACACAAATCATCATGATAACATTCTGCCAGTTAGGCCTACTTTGCAGTCATTTACTTGGGAATGTTTTTTGCCTTTTTAGAAATGTTTCGTTCAGTCAGCGCATGAATACTGAATTGCGCATCGCATAGATTCAACCAAGACTTCGGACCAAACTTTTTGAATACATGGTTTGCATACCCATTGTTGTTTTTAAATAATGATAATCAAATGTGAACAAAAAACTAACGTGACAGCTACATTTTTTTCACTGGCACCCTAGCGACCAAAAAATATAACCCTGCTAACAATCACCAAAATAAAAGCTAGACAGCCTGCGAATTGAAAATTCCAAAAACAATGAATTTAGCAGGATTGACTTAGAGTTTTTAGCAAAAGAACATCGCATTAGCTATGGCAAAATGCATAGAATTGCAGGAAGTTAGCTTAAAAAAATTCAAACATTTCTCTACACCGGCAAGATGGGGCGCCCTTGCCCGGCCCTCTGCCACGGCCACCACCTAAGCACCTTTTTGATCCAGAAAAAACCCTGGGTGTCTTTGTTTGTGATTGTGTGTGTTGGAACATTATGAGTGGATGCATTCCAGTTCATCTGTTTTGCTGTTGCGCTGCTGTGCATTTTGGAACATTTCTATAACCCATCAATGTGATTCATGAGCCGTTAAACACTTCTCCAGGCATTGAGATCCTGGGTCCTCTGCACAGCTCGACTGCAATAAAGATGACCTGGAACGCCACCACACATAGGTCCTCTGTAGCTCAGCTGGTAGAGCACGGCGCTTGTAACGCCAAGGTAGTGGGTTCGATCCCCGGGACCACCCATACACAAAAATGTATGCACGCACGACTGTAAGTCGCTTTGGATAAAAGCGTCTGCTAAATGGCATATTATTATTATTATGCCGCAACAAAACCGGATGTCATTGTTTTAATTTTTTTTAAATATATTATATTGAGCCTTTTTGGGGGACAACAAACAAAAAGCATACATAGATAAAAACAATAAACAACTTAACGTTTACAGCCATACATTTTCACAAACATTAATGACATCACACCCAATGATGTTTTTAATACTTACACCTTAATACTTATACTTCTAATTGTATTATGTTGTTTCTGTCTAGCCAGATTTAAAAAATAAATAAAAATAAAATGATTAAGCATTTGATTCTTACATTCTCTTAACGTTGGAGGATGATTTGACTTCCAGTATTTATGTAATGGCTTCTTCAATATAAGTGACAAAAATGAAATTGTCCAACCCATTGGGTATCTCACCTCACCCCCATATGCCATGCCTTGATTAAAAGTGAATTTAGATTGTAAAACTTCTGACAGCCAGCTTTCTATCTCTGCCCATAACTTTTGGACTTTATAGCACTCCCAGAAGGCATGAATTATTTACACATTATTGGTTTTACAGTTAAAACATGACTCTGCTGTTGTGTTGTAGAATTTGTGAATTTTGTCTCTTGTATAATAAATTCTATACAGTGAGGGGAAAAAAGTATTTGATCCCCTGCTGAGTTTGTACGTTTGCCCACTGACAGAAATGATCAGTCTATAATTTTAATGGTAGGTTTATTTGAACTGTGAGAGACAGAATAACAACAACAAAATACAGAAAAACGCATGTCAAAAATGTTATAAATTGATTTGCATTTTAATGAGGGAAATAAGTATTTGAACCCCTCTCAATCAGAAAGATTTCTGGCTCCCAGGTGTCTTTTATACAGGTAACGAGCTGAGATTAGGAGCACACTCTTAAAGGGAGTGCTCCTAATCTCAGTTTGTTACCTGTATAAAAGACACCTGTCCACAGAAGCAATGAATCAATCAGATTCCAAACTCTCCACCATGGCCAAGACCAAAGAGCTCTCCAAGGATGTCAGGGACAAGATTGTAGACCTACACAAGGCTGGAATGGGCTACAAGACCATCGCCAAACAGCTTGGTGAGAAGGTGACAACAGTTGGTGCGATTATTCGCAAATGGAAGAAACACAAAAGAACTGTCAATCTCCCTCGGCCTGGGGCTCCATGCAAGATCTCACATCGTGGAGTTGCAATGATCATGAGAACGGTGAGGAATCAGCCCAGAACTACACGGGAGGATCTTGTCTGATCTCAAGTCAGCTGGGACCATAGTCACCAAGAAAACAATTGGTAACACACTACGCCTTGAAGGACTGAAATCCTGCAGCGCCCGCAAGGTCCCCCTGCTCAAGAAAGCACATATACAGGCCCGTCTGAAGTTTGCCAATGAACATCTGAATGATTCAGAGGAGAACTGGGTGAAAGTGTTGTGGTCAGATGAGACCAAAATCTTTGGCATCAACTCAACTCGCCGTGTTTGGAGGAGGAGGAATGCTGCCTATGACCCCGAGAACACCATCCCCACCGTCAAACATGGAGGTGGAAACATTATGCTTTGGGGGTGTTTTTCTGCTAAGGGGACAGGACAACTTCACCGCATCAAAGGGACGATGGACGGGGCCATGTACCGTCAAATCTTGGGTGAGAACCTCCTTCCCTCAGCCAGGGCATTGAAAATGGGTCGTGGATGGGTATTCCAGCATGACAATGACCCAAAACACACGGCCAAGGCAACAAAGGAGTGGCTCAAGAAGAAGCACATTAAGGTCCTGGAGTGGCCTAGCCACTAGCCCATATAAAATCTGTGGAGGGAGCTGTAGGTTCGAGTTGCCAAACGTCAGGCTCGAAACCTTAATGACTTGGAGAAGATCTGCAAAGAGGAGTGGGACAAAATCCCTCCTGAGATGTGTGCAAACCTGGTGGCCAACTACAAAAAACGTCTGACCTCTGTGATTGCCAACAAGTGTTTTGCCACCAAGTACTAAGTCATGTTTTGCAGAGGGGTCAAATACTTATTTCCCTCATTAAAATGCAAATCAATTTAAAACATTTTTTACATGCGTTTTTCTGGATTTTGCTGTTGTTATTCTGTCTCTCACTGTTCAAATAAACCTACCATTAAAATTATAGACTGATCATGTCTTTGTCAGTGGGCAAACGTACAAAATCAGCAGGGGATCAAATACTTTTTTCCCTCACTGTACATTAGTTTATACTGGATTAAGCATACATTTTCTTTAACTGTAATTTTGTTCGTTATGTTCCAACACTCCCTCAATCTTATGCTAATAATCAGTTATTTGTATGTCTTGGTTCCAATAGTTGATATTGTTTTCTAAGAGATTGTCAGTTGTATAGGCACTTTGCACGGTTTTGTATATCTTACCTATCATACGAGTACCTTTTTCTGACTCAAATAGGATTCCCCTATAAGCTTTCAGGTCTACATTTTTTGTACACTATAAACCTTTTTAAGTTGCATGTATTTGAAAATGTCCACATTGGTCAGTCCAAAATTGCATTTTAATTTAGTCATGGAATTATTGTATTGCCTATTACCAGTTCATTTCCGGTTTCTATGCCTTTATCAGTGAATTCTGAAAAGCTATCCAAGGATTGTTCCTTAGGGGTGTGTTTTTAGGGCGTGATATTGGTTCTTGTAAAATCTGTTTCATTTTCTTCCATGTTATAGTGTTCTTAAATATGAAGTTGTTAATGTTCTTAACTCCATCCTTTGTAAACAAAACACGTGAAAAGATTTCCCTGGTTGAGCATGCGCATCTTCAGTATGTACCCATTGTTCCTCTTTAGTGCATTTAACAATATGTCGCAGGTAAAAGCCTTGTTTGGCGATTTGATACAATTCCAAATCTAGAAGGTTAAAACCACCCTCAGATTTAGGGTCATGTAAAACTTTCCTATTTATTCTAAGTTTTATGAAGTCTCTTATGGTCCCCTGTAGCTCAGTTGGTAGAGCATGGCGCTTGCAACGCCAGGGTTGTGGGTTTGTTTCCCACGGGGGGCCAGTATGAAAAATTTATGCACTCACTAACTGTAAGTCGCTCTGGATAAGAGCGTCTGCTAAATGACTAAAATGTAAATGTAAAGAATGTTTTTGGTGGGGTAATTGGTACTACCGAAAATAAATATTAAACTTTGGTAGCCATGCAATTCTAGAGGTTTGTTCTACCTGTACGTTTTATGGGGAGATTATTCAATTGAATTAGATCTGCTTTCATGTCGGATGTCATTGTTTTCAATGAGACGATGATGGCAATTTGTTTTGTTTTACTTTGCCTAAGGTCTAGCTAAGAAGTTTTGATGGTTGAAGTGCCATATTTATTTAGCTAGCATGCTCTTCAAACCAGCCAGCCAGGCAAACTGCCAAGCAACAAAGGGTAGTCCATGAGTTTTCATGCAGTCCGGGGCAACTTTCTTTGAGTCGCCTAGGTGTTTTGAATGTAGCATTAGTGCTAGTGTTGAATTTGCTTCTAGACTCTGCTCTTGGGTCAGTTTTACATTTCCCCCACCAATTGTTGAGATTTGGATTGGGGGAGGGGAAGCTGCTCTGAGATCTGTACCTAGGGGAGCAGTGCTAACGGTGTGTCTGTCTAAAGTCTCTTGTTTATCTCCCTTCGTGTCTCTCCCAGGACATCCTGCTGATCAACCTGATCATCGAGCACATGATCTGTGACTCAGACCCAGAGCTGGGCGGCGCCGTGCAGCTGATGGGTCTGCTACGCACCCTGGTGGATCCCGAAAACATGATGGCCACCGCCAATGTGAGTAGAGCGGCTCGCTTCTTACCTCTGACCTTTCCTTACCCCCTTTCACCCTGAGAACATGCTGGTCATTGCCCTATCACCCCCCCCCCCGAGAGAGTGGCTGGAATTCGAATCGACCCTTAGCTCCTAGTCCTTGGGCAGGATTTAAAACCCACCAGGCATACTTCCTAGAGGCTCCGCGACCGTTTTGTGACTTCACTCGGCACCGCACAGAGATTTCGCTGCATGCCATAATTTGCAACTAAGGAGTTCACCCGGTGGAGTGTAAACCCAGCCCGACTTACTCCCTAGGCACTTCCTTTAGGTCTTCTGTGTTTTGGTGAAACCCTTTTCACTTGCAGTGTTTGCATCTCATGGTTTGACTCTCCTCCTCCTGCAGAAAACAGAGAAGACAGAGTTCCTGAGCTTCTTCTACAAGCACTGCATGCACGTCCTCTCTGCTCCACTACTGGCCAACACCACGGATGACAAACCCAGCAAAGGTGTGTGTGTGTGCAAAGAGAAACAATGTTTTACCTGCACCTATCCAAATAAACCATAAATACAGTATAAGATGAGCCACTGCATATGTGTGTGAGTGCCCTGTGATTGTCATGACTGACGCATTCACTCAAAGTTGTATATACAGAATCTGATGCGACCAGCTACAATTTAGCGTTCTGTCACATGCACGCACACCCGAGATGAGTCACTTTATGTCAGTATGTGTGTGTGAATGCTCTGAGTGAATGAATGACCTCTTAAACATGTATACACACACACCATATGAGCCACTGTATGTGTGTGAGTGCTTCATGATTGTTATGAACACACCGTTCATCCCCTCCCTCCCTCCCTGTATCCCCTCCAGATGACTTCCAGACATCTCAGCTGCTGGCGCTGATCCTGGAGCTGCTGACGTTCTGTGTGGAGCACCACACCTACCACATCAAGAACTACATCATCAACAAGGACATCCTCCGTAGGGTCCTGGTGCTAACCGCCTCACAGCACGCCTTCCTGGCCCTCTGTGAGTCCTCTATGCACACACACCATATAGTACCGTAACACACAACGTAACGTTCAGCTTGCCAAAAACCTGCCCCATCACCTTATCTACATTGTCACGATAGCCTCACCAAGCCTGTGTTGTATTTAGCCAACACTATACTCTTTATGCGTCACCACCCCCACTCTAGACCTTTAAAACCCCCCTCACCTGTCCTTTTCTCTCTGATTCCCCGACGCACTATTGGAAAATCACACACACGCACTTGCTGAGTCTCTCTCTGTGCTGACAGTCAGGAGAAAACTGTAATGTCTGCACACTGTATGTCTGCACACTGTTTACGAGTCGGTCGGAACATTGTATCTGTATCAACTTTATCAAAAGATCACCATGAAAAGTTGAATGTGTGTAAAACTCTGCTTTCATTGATGCGCACTCATCCCCCCCTCTCCTCCAGGCGCGTTGCGCTTCATGCGGAGGATCATCGGGCTGAAGGACGAGTTCTACAACCGCTACATCATGAAGAACTTCCTGTTTGAGCCAGTGGTCAAGGCCTTCCTCAACAACGGCGCCCGCTACAACCTCATGAATTCGGCCATCATTGAGATGTTCGAATATGTCCGCGTGGTGGGTACCCCCCACCCACCCCTAACGGGCCCACATTCGACAATATCACACCTTGCTTAGACAGAACAAAACCTAAGCTGAGCAAGAATGCGATTATCAGTGTTGTGACAAGCGAGAGTGAAGTCAACCGCCAAGACATGACGCAGGGCATTGTATTAAACAAGACTGGTACGGTCTTCCCCTCCCTTTTTCTCTCTCTCCCCTCCCTCCCTCCCTCTCTCTCTCTTTGCCCTTCCTCCCTCCCCCATTTTTCTCCTTCCCTCCCTTACTTTCCTCCTCTATACACTACCATTCTCCCCAGGAGGATGTGAAGTCCCTGACGGCTCACATAGTGGAGAACTACTGGAAGGCCCTGGAGGACGTGGACTACGTGCAAACCTTTAAAGGACTGAAGCTGCGCTATGAACAGCAGAGGGAGAGGCAGGACAACCCCAAACTGGACAGGTAATATATCGTTTTTGTGTTTATTTATTGTCTTGTGTCCATTGTTTTGACTATGTGCTGCAAAAGGAATTGCACCTCTGGGATAATAAAGACTACTATTCTACTCTAAGACTTGGGGGGGGGGGGACCGGAGGGCTAGGGAGAGGATTGGATTGATGATTGAATGGACAGATGAAATACAAATTCTGCTAGTAATGTTTGGGGTTGGTAATGGGCATTCTAGCTGTGGTTGTGTTTGGAAATGGCTGCCATTAGCTACAGGATGAGTAGGTAGTTGTCTTTGGCTTTAAAGGAATCCAATTGGCTAGGGCTGCTGTCTTTTGGTTCTACTCAAGCTGATTGGCCTTATGAATGATTGTTTATTTTTTACATTTGGAATCCACTGGTTTCTATCAATTTGCTATCTCTTATTTATCTGTAACTCAACTCTACGGTCATGCTCAAGTTTAACTGTTTGCCAACTCCCCTTACACAGCATGCGGTCGATCCTGAGGAACCACCGGTTCCGGCGAGATGCGCGGACGCTGGACGATGACGAGGAGATGTGGTTCAACGCGGACGAGGACGAGCTGGAGGAGTGCGAGGCGGTTGTGCCCCCCTCGGACAAGACCACCAAGGCGAGCGACGGCGAGAATGAAGACCTCATGGACCCCATCAGCAAGTTCATGGAAAGGAAGAAACGTAGGTCACAGGGAAAGAATGCATGAATTACTGACAGAACTGGGTCAAATACATATGTGAAGTTTTTTTAGGGGAGTTTAGGTGTGCTTGTTTTTGTTTGGAATTTGTACTTTTTGGATTATTCAATTCGTTCCGTTGCTCATGGGAAATTAAATTAAGGGCAGCTCATGCATTTGAAGGTTGCTGATATACTCTGTACTGAGAACAAAAAAACTGTAAAACTGACAGCCCACAACTGTCTATATCTCGGTCTTTCTGCCCCACAGTGAAAGACTCGGATGACAAGGAAGTCCTGGGCAAGTCCAGTAGTCTGTCAGGCCGCCAGAGCCCCAGCTTCAAGCTCTCCTTCTCCAGCTCCACCACCAAGACCAGCCTGTCCAGCCCGCCCGGCTCGCCGGGGTCAGGGGCCAAGGGCTCGCCCCCGACAGCAGCCACAGTCACCACAAAGGTGGGTAGTAGGACCCGACTCGTCTCCACGGGAACTGGTTTGTGTTCATTAGGGCACGTAACAACAGAAAACATTTCAAATGAAAATGTACATTTCTTATTGGACAAGTCAAGGTAGTCCATCACAATTTGTCTGTTTTCTTCATTCTGTGCCTAAGAATGGGATGATTGTTTGGGGGTCGGAGTTGGTTTAGTAGTTTAGGTCTTACAAAAAGACAGGGAAGTTAACCCAAAGTATAAAATTGACATGTTTTGTTTCCTTACCTTGAAATCAGTCTGGAGAAGGACAGACTGCAATCCACACTTTGGGTTTGTTTTACCGAAGCACTGCTAACAACCATTAACTTTTATCAATTGCAAATGAAAAACCAGTAGAAGTCAATTTACCCCAATTGCAAGCTCCCTCCAAACTTGAGACATCTGTGGCATTTTGTTGTGTGACAAAACTGCACATTTTAGAGTGGCCTTTTATTGTCCCCAGCACAAGGTGCACCTGTGTGATAATCAGCTTCTTGATATGCCACACCTGTCAGGTGGATGGATTGTCTTGGCAAAGCGTTTGTGGCCTACCACTTCGTGGCTGAGCCGTTGCTCCTAGATGTTTCCACTTCACGTGGTCCTCTGTAGCTCAGCTGGTAGAGCACGGCGCTTGTAACGCTAAGGTAGTGGGTTCGATCCCCGGGACCACCCATACACAAAAAAATGTATGCACGCATGACTGTAAGTCGCTTTGGATAAAAGCGTCTGCTAAATGGCATATTATTATTATTATTATATTATTATATTATTACAATAACAGCACTTACAGTTGACCGGGGCAGCTCTAGCAGGGCAGAAATTTTACGAACTGACTTGTTGGAAAGGTGGCATCCTATGACGTTGCCACGTTGAAAGTCACTGAGCTCTTCAGTAAGGCCATTCTACTGCCAATGTTTAGCTATGGAGATTGCATGGCTGTGTGCTCGAATTTATACACCTGTCAGCAAGGGGTGTGGCTGAAATAGCCGAATCCACTAATTTGAAGGGGTGTCAACATACTTTTTAAAATAATGTGTACCACGTTTAAGGGCTGTTCTTATGCACGACGCAACAAAAGTATGTCCACATACTTTTGTATATACAGTGCATTCAGAAATAATTCAGACCCCTTGACTTTTTCCACATTTGTTACGTTACAGCCTTATTCTAAAATTGATTAAATAAATACAAATGATAATCAATCTACACACAATACCCCATAATGACAAAGCAAAAACAGGTTTTTAAAATGTTTTGCAAATGTATTACAAATAAATAACATACCTTATTTACATAAGCATTCAGACCATTTGCTAAGAGACTCAAAATTGAGCTCAGGTGCATCCTGTTTCCATTGATTATCCTTGAGATGTTTGTACAACTTGATTGGAGTCCACCTGTGGAAATTCAATTGATTGGACATGATTTGGAAAGGCACACACCTGTCTTTATTAGGTCCCACAGTTGACAGTTCATGTCAGAGCACTGCAGCACTCCACCAATCAGGCCTTTATGGTAGAGACCGAAGCCACTCCTCCGTAAAAGGCACGACAGCCCGCTTGGAGTTTGCCAAAAGGCACCTAAAGTCTCTCAGACCATGAGAAACAATATTCTCTGGTCTGATGAAAACAAGATTCAACTATTTTGCCTGAATGCCAAGCGTCACGTTTGGAGGAAAACTTGCACCATCCCTACGGTGAAGCATGGTGGGGGCAGCATTATGCTGTGGGGATGTTTTTCAGTGGCAGTGACTGGGAGACTAGTCAGGAACGAGGCAAAGATGAACGGAGCAAAGTACAGAGAGATCCTTGATGAAAACCTGCTCTGGAGCGCTCAGGACCTCAGACTGTGGCGAAGGTTCACCTTTCAACAGGACAATGACCCTAAGCACACAGCCAAGACAACGCAGGAGTGGTTTCGGGACAAGTCTCTGAATGTCCTTGAGTGGCCCAGCCAGAGCCCGGACTTGAACTCGATCGAATATCTCTGGAGAGACCTGAAAATAGCTGTGCAGCAAAGCTCCCCATCCAACCTAACAGAGCTTGAGAGGATCTGCAGAGAAGAATGGGAGAAACTCCCCAAATACAGCTGTGCCAAGCTTTTAGCGTCATACCCAAGAAGACTCGAGGCTGTAATCGCTGCTAAAGGTGCTTCGACAAAGTACTGAGTAAAGGGTCTGAATACTTATGTAAATGTTATATTTCAGTGTGTTCTATTTAATAAATTAGCAAACAATTTGGAAAAACCTATTTTTGCTTTGTCATAATGGGGTAGTGTGTGTAGATTGATGAGGGGGAAAAAAACTTTTTTAAATCAATTTTAGAATAAGGCCTGTAACCTAACAAAATGTGTAAAAAGTCAAGGGGTCTGAATACTTTCCGAAGGCATTGTACGTCCCATTTCCATAATGTTTAACTCTGAGATTCATATCTCTGTTGTCCTATTGCATATGGGGGGATGCAGGTATAGGTAAGAGAGCTGTACTTACGTCGTCGTTCTGCTGGGACTCCTGCATGATAAACTCTCGTACCATAGAGGGGTTGTACTCCACCAGATAGGAGAAGATATCGGTGGCTGCGCCACGCACCTGCACATCATCCATCCCCTGATGGCACGCGCACTCACACAACATTCACGACAGTCACAGAAGACAATGGAATCGAATATGAAGGATCAGAACAGAGTAGAATAACACTGTAAAAGACAGCTAAGAAATACAAAGCAGTCTGAATTTATGAGTATAATATTCCATCAATGTAGATCTGAAAGAACTGTGTAGGTAATAGGTATAAGCAATATGGTCCACCTTGCCCTCAAATTGACGAGGTGGAATTTACACAAGTGCCTAGGGGTTATGAGGTAGGGGCTAGGGCTTGTGTGTGTGGGCACTCACCAGTATAACCTCTAGTGCAGGGAGAATGCCCATGTTCGACAGAGTCTTGAAGAAGGTGTCTCTGTTTTGAGGTTGTAACGTTTGTGAGAAGGCGCAGAACTCCTTAAGGAAGTTTACCTGTGGGGAAAACAATGCTTTGTGTTAGCCAATGACTAACTAACTAGGACTAGCCTAAAATGCTGACTAGACCGGGCGCGTGCGTCCGCCATCGTTCGCATGTTGATTTTGTCCACCCACACCAGACGCAATCAGGACACATTTTAGAATAAGGCTGTAACGTAACAAAATGCGTAAAAAGTTTAGGGTTCTGAATACTTTCCAAATGCACTGTATAGTGTTTGTGTATATATACAGTACCTTCAGAAAGTATGTACACCCCTTGACTTTTTCCACATTATGTTGTTACAGCCTGAATTTAAAATTGATTAAATTTAGATTTTGTCACTGGCCTACACACAACACCCCATAATGTCAAAGTAGAATTCTTACAAATTAATAAAAAATTTAAAGCGGAAATGTCTTGAGTCAATAAGTATTCAAAATCTTTTGTTATGGCAAGCCTAAATAAGTTCAGGAGTAAACATTTAAATAAATGCTTAAGAAGTCACATAATAAGTGGCATGAACTCACTCTGTGTACAATAATAGTTTTTAAAAAATGTTTATGACCTCATATCTGTACCCCACACATACAATTATCTGTAAGGTCCCTAATTCGAGCAGTGAATTTCAAACACTGATTCAACCACAAAGACCAGGGAGGTTTTCCAATGCCTCACAAAGAAGGGCACCTATTGGTAGATAGGTAAAAAATATAAAAAAGTAGACAATTAATATCCTTTTGAGCATGGGCAAGTTATGAATTACACTTTGGATGGTGTATCAATACAACTAGTCACTACAAAGAAACAGGCGTCCTTCCTAACTCCGTTGCCGGAGAGGAAGGAAACCGCTCAGAGATTTCACCATGAGACCCATGGTGACTTTAAAACAGTTACAGCGTTTAATGGCTGTGATAGGAGAAAACTGAGGATGGATCAACATTGTAGTTACTCCACAATACTAACCTAAATGACAGAGTGAAAAGAAGGAGGCCTGTACAGAAGAAAAATATTCCAAAACATGCATCCTGTTAACAATAAGGCCCTAAAGTAAAACTGCAAAACATTTGGCAAAGAAATTAGCTTTATGTCCTGAATACAAAGCGGTATGTTTGGGGCAAGTCCAACACATCACTGAGTACCTTTCAAGTATATTGGTGTCTGCATCATGTTATGGGTATGCTTGTCATCGGCAAGAACTAGGGAGTTTCTGGGATAGAAATTAACGGAATAGAGCTAAGCACAGGTTAAATCCTAGAGGAATCCTGGTTCAGTCTGCTTTCCAACAGACACTGGGAAACAAATTCACCTTTCAGCAGGACAATAACCTAAAACACAAGGCCAAATATACACTGGAGTTGCTTACCATGACAACATTGAATGTTCCTGAGTGGCCTTGTTACAGATTTGACTTGAAAATCTATGGCACGACTTGGACATTTTGATTTCAGGCTGTAACACAACAAAATGTTGAATTAATCAATGGGTATGAATACTTTTCTGAAGGCACTGTGTGTATATACAGTATAGAGTGTTTTTTTGTTTTTTTTTTGCACTGTTCCGAAGGATTTCAATGGCTGAAAAAAGTCCTCTTAAGGGGCTGATTCTGATGGGAATCAGATATCAGTTTGGGGGCCCCAAGATAGTAGCTTGCATGCCTGATGTGGCCCCCATGCCTAAGTTTGAGACTGCTGTTATGGTAAAGAGTTAAGTAGTTATTTTCTGTATTTAAAAATAAATTAAAATCAAGATCAGATCCGAATACATGAATGACCCCGATTTCCCCCCCCCCCCCCCCCCCTTCTCTCTCTCGCTCTCTCTCAGGTGGGACTGGTGGACTACCCTGATGACGACGAAGAAGATGAAGAGGATGTGGGCGGCGAGAGTAAAGAGGAGACTCCGCCCCTGTCCAAGAAGTCCAAGCTGAGCTCCTAATAAAAAATTAAACGTTAATGACTACTTTCCACCGATCCCACGATGGACTCAACACAGGAACGAACAAAAACTGCTCAACCTGTTAAAACAAATGAATGAACCCCACCCCCCCTTGGTTTTCAATGGGGGCTTCTGTTGAGGAGCGGACTATGAATGGATACGCGTCTCTAACTAATCCCAATATACAAGTGCCAATCGGGAGGCCGCAGAGCTAGGAACGAACGAATGGACAAGAGAGAAAGGCGGAGAGAAAAGACTATTACCGATAATGGCGTCAAATAAAAGGGGCGGAGTGACAATTTATAATCAAACAAAGCTAAAATACCGCAGGAAATGACCACACAAATACACACATTCATCCACACACACACACACGCACACACACACACACACACACACACACATACACAGACTTCAACCCCAAAGAGCTTGCGGGCTCGGACCATGACACACTGCCTCACCCCCAACCCCCCCCACTCAGGGAAGGACATCACAGCGACCCCCAAAATGGGGCCGACCAATCCAGATGCAGAACCACTCACCCCCTACGCTGACTTCTCCTCCCACTTCTGTTGATTTCTCTCTCCACCCCCCTTTTCTCTCCATTTTTTGTTTCTTTTAATATCTTTAATCCTTTTTAGATGTTAGTTTCTAGGACCAGACGTGAGACTGCAGACCGACGGGGCGAAGTCGTTTTGTTTTTCGTTATGATGATGTCATCAGTGCTGTCGTCGTTGCTCAGTGGAAGTTATTCCTCTCATTAGAAAAAAGCCAGCCGTTTTTTTCCTTTTTAATCACTCCCTCTCGCTCTCTCTCTTCAGTTTTTTGTAAACGACAACAAAAGAGACCTGCCTTTACATGTTCAGGAACTTTTCAGTCGCACTTGAACAGGTTTTTAAAAACCCCAGTAGGTTGAGCTAGTTTTACCCTTTTTTGCCCTTTGAAACTGCAGATTTTTTGGAAAAATAATTTGTAATCCTTTCTTGATTAAAGATTGAGTGGAATTGTAGATGTGATCAATTTTTTTTCATATCTTCTCATTTTTTTGGTTTTCTTTTACGTGAGTGTACACTTAGTTGTTCAGAAATATTTGGGACCATTAAAAATGATCTTTGCTGTATGATGTCCTACTACCTTTTGTGCTGGCGAGACTGAAATTGTGTTATTTCTGCACTGCTATGTTGCAGTAGCAAAGCCCCAGATCTGTTTGTGTGGTCTTGCCAACTTCTATGGTGGTGTGACAATGACCATAGAAATCAGCAAGACAGCACAAGCAGATCTGGGACATGGCAACTGTTTTTCAATGTTCTCGAGCTGATTCTTCACTTGACACCTGAACGTGATTTTTGGGGATGCTGAAAGGTCTAGTAGAATGTTATTTTATTGTGAATGGGAACTTTTTATAATTCATAAACCCGTTTTTAACAATTCTGTAATGGTTTGACTTGATGAGGTCAGCTTACCAGTTCTATCTCTTTACAAGGGTGAACCTCAGTTGTATGTCTACACGGTCTCCACCAGGTGGTACCCTCGCATCACACAAGACATGAAAAAGAGACGGTGGCTGTATAGTACTGTAAGGTCTTGAGAGGTGCAACTTTGTCCGTTCTCATGTTACTTACACATATTTTAATGCACCGGTTTAATTTCTTGGCCTTCATAATTTATCTTAAGGTTCAGAATGCTACCTAAGTTTGTGTCATCACTAAAGTTCTTCCAAAGCTCAAATGGGATAGTTCATCAAAATGGCAAAATTATTTAAGGTCTATGGGCGAGTTTAATTCTATAAATTCTATTCATCCCCAAGGGGAAATGGTTGATGGTATCTACACAATTTTTTTTATGGTTAAGACCAAGGATAGACGTGACTGACCGTTCTCTTTACGCTAAACATCGATTAGTCATGTCTCCTTCCCTATTTCTATCTGTGCCTCAGTGGGTGCTGGAAGAATTCCTAAACGCAAACGGCGACATGGGGCCACCTTGGCGCATGCCGCATTATCCCACCTCATCCCTTCAATAGCAGAGTCGGCTGCCAAACATCTGCTATTAATTAAAACCTTCTGATTAAACCCATCTGATCCCCAGAAGCTCAGCAGGCCGTGATTTCACGGCGCCTATTTAAAACTCCATTCACTACAAAGCCTTTTATAGACTTTGGAGACAAACCTTTCGAAAATAGCCTCCCCCCACCAATGCTATGTCTATTCCACAGCATGACGGTGACAGTGGTTGTGCGTGACTGTATGTTCTCTCTCTCGACTCCATACTGAACTGGCACGAGAGGGGCAGTCTGGTAGTAGCCTAGAGATGCCAGCTCTACTCGTCCTAAAGGCGTGCTATCCCAACGCAAGGTTTTTGCCAAGACTCTTGCCCCCTTGCGTTGCCCGCCTGTGTGTCTGCCAGCCTGAAGGCATCCACACCGGCGGAACTGCAAGCGTGCCGTGGACTTCCTGGCGTGCCACTGAATACCCTCTTTGACAGCTCTTTTGATTGGCACGACTCCCATCTTCGCCAGCCTTGCTGCCTCCAGTTTCGCAGACTGGGATAGTCTGACTGATCAGGAACTGTTCTATAGTTTGATGTGTTAAGGATGAATAAGAACAGGAATGCATGTAACCCACGATACTACATAACTGGTTCACTTGAACGCCATCTCCTAGGCCCCTTTAGGCCAGTGTTTCCCCTAGTTAAATTTTTAGGTGGGCCCCCAAAGCAACATCCAGGCCCTTGTCTGGCATCACAATTATCAATTGTAGCCAAAATCTTTTAGGCGGGGGAAAACAGGTGGGCACCTTATGGTCAGATCATCCACTAACAAATGTGCCACCATGAACGTGTACAAAAGGGTTCCAGTGTAAGCTATACAATGACAGCTATAAATTATAGTAGGCCTGTAGCTTATTGGGGATGCAAAATCTCCACTTTTGAAATGTTTTGGGGGGGGATCTGACAAAAAGTGCACAGACATAGTGTTCAATCAATCTCACGTGTGACTGCTGCATCCCCTAACCAGCAATTAGTCTACTCAGCTGCTTCTCTCCGTCCGTTCTTTCTGCGCATCTCCATCAGTTTTTAAATGTTATTTAGCCGTGATGGCGAGTTGGGGTGTGCAGATAGTGATGTTACATTTGTTTAATTGGAGCGGCCCGCAGCGCGAGCGAAGTCGATACGTAGATATCTTTTAATTATGCCTGTAAGAACAAGCAGGCCAGTCTGACTAGGCTTCGCTGTCATGCAGCCTCTTAGTGTTACTGCCATAGAGGAAAACGGAGCACAGTGACAGTCAGTCATGCTTGCACCTTTACACTGCGAGTTTCTAGCCCAAAACCCACCATATTGTTAGCTAGCTAGCCAGGTAACATGACTAAACAATGTTGTTTTTTATCAAACCAAAAACTCGAGGCCCACAAGTAATTTAAAACAACCCAAGACATGGTTTATAGAATTGTATAAACTGGGTGGTTCGAGCACTTAATGCTGATTTGGCTGAAAGCCGTATACCACGGGTATGACAAAACATATATTTTTACTGCTAATTATGTTGGTAGCCAGTTAATAATAACATTAAGGCACCTCAGGGGTTTGTGGTATATTGTCAATATACCACGGCTAATGGCTGTATCCAGGCACTCTGCGTTGCATCGTGCTTAAGAACAGCCCTTAGACATGGTACACTATATATACAAAAGTATATGGACACCCCTTCAAATGAGTGGATTCGGCTATTTCAGCCACACCCGTTACTGACAGGTGTATAAAATCAAGCACACAGCAATGCAATCTCCATAGACAAACATTGGCAGTAGAATGGCCTTACTGAAGAGCTCAGTGACTTTCAATGTAGCATCGTCACAGGATGCCACCTTTCCAACAAGTCAGTTCGTCAAATTTCTGCCCTGCTAGAGCTGCTCCGGTCAACTGTAAGTGCTGTTATTGTGAAATGGAAACGTCTAGGAGCAACAACGGCTCAGCCGTGAAGTGGTAGGCCACAAAAGCTCACAGAATGGGACTGCCGAGTGCTGAAGCATTTAGAGAGTAAAAATAATCTGTCCTCGGTTGCAACATTCACTACCGAGTTACAAACTGCCTCTGGAAACAACGTCAGCACAATGACTGTTCGTAGGGAGCTTCATGAAATAGGTTTCCATGGTCGAGCAGCTGCACACAAGCCTAAGATCACCATGCGCAATGCCAAGTGTCAGTTGGAATGGTGTAAAGCTCGCTGCCATTGGACTCTGGAGAAGTGGAAACACGTTCTCTGAGGTGATGAATCACGCTTCACCATCTGGCAGTCCGACAGATGAATCTGGGTTTGGCGGATGCCAGGAGAACGCTACCTGCCCCAATGCAAAGTGCCAACAGTAAAGTTTGGTGGAGGAGGAATAATGGTCTGGGGCTGTTTTTCATGGTTCGGGCTAGGCCCCTTAGTTCCAGTGAACTAAGGTTACAGCATACAATGACATTCTAGACGATTCTGTGCTTCCGACTTTGGAAGGCCCTTTCCTGTTTCAGCATGACAATGCCCCTGTGCATAAAGCGAGGTCCATACAGAAATGGTTTGTCGAGATCGGTTTGGAAGAACTTGACTGGCCTGCACAGAGCCCTGACCTCAACCCCATCGTATACCTTTGGGATGAATTGGAACGCCGACTGCGAGCCAGGCCTAATCGCCCAACATCAGTGCCCGACCTCACTAGTGCTCTTGAGGCTGAATAGAAACAAGTACCTGCGCAATGTTCCAACATCTAGTGGAAAGCCTTCCCAGAAGAGTGGAGGCTGTTATAGCAGCAAAGGGGGGACCAACTCCATATTAATGCCCATGTTTTTGGAATGAGATGTTCGACGAGCAGGTGTCAACATACTTTTGGTAATGTAGTGCACCCTCATAATTCCCTTGCCAATAGGATTTAAAACGTGGTCTCTCATGGGTTCCTGCAGAGGGAAATGTAGGCAAATGTTACCGGCATTTGGTTAAAATGAAACATACAAAAAACATA